ATGACATTGTTAACATTGGTTAAGGCGTTGATACAGACTAGTTCTAAAATAACATTCTGAAAATAGAGGGTGAGAATCGTATTCCAGGAGCGGTTAGATTGTTATTTAAGGTAATCTAGATCAACAAGTGGATCTCCTGGGAGCAGATCAACCGCCGAGACATTAGATGATGAAAGCGTCATCTTTGAAGGAATGTCTATAACAAGGTTAAATAAAGTGGGGAAAGTAGTTATTTTGACGGTCACTACTCCAGTTTCCTCATAAGCTCTAACTCGAGCAATAGTGTTCAAATAGAGGTTATACAAAGTTGATGAACTTCGTTAGTACACTTTTCATGTAAATACTTTCACTATTATTTTGGCCATGAATACAATCGTCATCGAGTTAGTTTATTATTAAGGCCTCAATATAACACTGAATTAAATTCGTTTAATCCAAAAACAGGTGGCATAAATTCATTTTCTGCCTGTGAACAAAAAACAGGTATATTCATGGATAATTAAGGCTAAAAATAAAACAATACCAGTAAGTTTTTTTAAAAGGTATTTTGTAGATATAATGTGTGTCATTTCGAAGAGTAAACAACAAATAAAAAGTTGAAGAAAAACACAAATGAAAAAAATAAAAAAGATCATTACAAAGTAGAAGCTGTCATTGTCATAGTACTTACACTTAATTGATAGTAAGTAAGCGATGTAGCAACACCACTCGCAGCATAAAACAGTGATCTTCAGTTGAAACAAGCAAACAAGTACAACGTGGTAGAAAGAAGTGTACAATGATGCATAATGAAAAGCGAGTAGTTAATGACAACTTCTCTCCTTTCCGAAAGATAAAGAAGCCGAAGAAATCTAAGTTAAAAAACAAAAACACCCATTACTACTATTATCGCCACCATCAACAATATGAAATAGAATGTGACGCATGCCAACACACACATATACAGATGTAGAATGATGAGTCCGAGAATGAGTAGTAAAAAATGAAGGAAAAACATTTCGTGCGCTTATCGGCAACAAATACATGTATTCAAGCAACAATAACCATCATATTAACGAAAGCAGAATAAGCACAAAGAAAAATACATAAAACAAAATTCAGCATAAAGGATTGTAATAATCAAATGTATTATTTATATAGAGAAGAAACTGCAGTGTATACAGCAACATAGTAAAGCAAGCATGAAAAGAAAAACGAAATGAAAAGGCAGCATAAGCTTTATTTTGAAGAATTATGACAAAATACAAAGATTCTCTGTATGTCAACAATACACATAGATGATTATAATGAAAATGCGCAAGTGAAGATGAATGAAAAAAGATGGGTAGAAACACAATTAGAGGTAAACTTTCAAAGCAGCAATGTTAACTGACTGATTTTGCGAATAATGATGTGAATGACAATAGTAACTGATCAGAACTATGACGCCAACGATTTCTACGAAGATAAATTCTTTTTCAACTGTTTATTGTCTCATTAATTATGACAGAACATAAGAGTAACAAAATTTGAGAACAGTGAATATATAACTCATTTATTTGCATTAATTCATTAAGACTAGTTTTGCTGATGATACAGGTGTTAACGATATACACCCACACCTCTAATCCACTTGAGTAGCTAATTTAATATAAATAGCTAAACCGGGAGACGAGAATATTATTTATAATTAAATGATTGCCTAATAAATAATGAAGCACTCCATATACATACATGGAGTAGATTTACCATATTCAAATAGGCTTAATAACTATCCTGGAATAGATCAGCATAAAAAAAGGGGAAAATTGATGAGAATAATATGTATATGGAGTAACGTAAATTTCTAAGAGTATACAGTAGACAATGGTAGTACACGAACACATGCACATAGATGTACACAAAATGCAGATAATTTTGAAAATAAATCATTAGCAGTAAATCAGTTGTTCGTCTTGTTAATTATTTACTGTATGTATGAGAAATATCCCTTGAAAATTAGCGAGATACTGGGAATGGTAAATTAAAAGAATAAAGTATGCATGTATGAAGGTTGGAACACAGCATAACGTGTACACATAAAAATACACTAACACATATATAATCAATGCAACGAGATATTCACTACTGACTAACTGTTACATGTAGAAGTGTATTCTTCATTCCAGTTTAATCAGTGAAAGATTTTAAATGTAACATACTATTGTTACTCGAAGAGAAAAAAGGCGCTTAAATAGTTAAAACCTAATGTCTGTTTTTTAATGTGTTCTATTCTTTTTTTGGCCAGTCAACCCAGATAAATCAGATCTATTGTGTACAAATGACAATGAAATTGAGAATAAGCAATAAAAACATACTCGAAATTTAATACCCTACAAAATCATGTATGTAAACATATTTGACGGAAAGAAAAGAGCAGAGAAAAAAGAACCATTATGTGTTTAATAATGTGAGCAATAAAAATAAAACTTGACAATTAACGAGAAGATAAACAGTGAGTGGATGAATGTATGAGTATAAAGACAGCGAATAGTTGTGTTTTAAAACCACATAGAATACATATATGTGTAAAATTCAAGAAAAAAACCCAATGGATGTTTATGAATGTTCACATTATTTCATTTGAGTGATGTATTAATTAAAAAGAGATTATTAAGTAATTAATTGTGATTCCTAAGTGTATTATTATTACTTTTTTTTATTATATTACACTTGTTAATAATTTGACTTATAAACAAAATTATATTAGAATAGAAAAGTGAATGGGAAAGCTTAACAAACACGAGTAAGCGGTATTAACCTTGATAAAAAAACATAATCGGTACTATGATTAAATACTGTAATGTACAATCTAGTGAATGGCTGTACTTTCTGTGTGTTAGAGAGAGAGAGAGAAAAGGAAACAGCACAGGAAAAATTACTATGACTTCAAAATGTAATACAATAATAGGTGAATATTTAAATGTGAATAGAACCAAAATGAGTAGATTGGATTTATTTATCATTATTGATAACCATAGTTTGTGAATATTATTATTACTACTTTCTAAGAGTATATGTTTTATGTAATATGAATCATTAATATTATAATATGCATGTATAGAGAGTAAAAATGAATTGTGATTACAGAATAAACAGATTTGAGGAAAAGAAATTTTTTTTAGGAAACAATATACAAAAATTAATTGGTTTTCTTGATTCTGTATTGACATTCAGGGGTTAAATTATTTCTGTTCTCTGGCTAAATTGATCAATGGAATCAATGAACTCAATGGTTTAGAACATCTGCATATGAATGGATGCTATGAAGACAGATAAAAAACAAGAAAACACAATTAAAGGAATATATCTTCAAAGCAAAAGAAGTTATCAATGTATTAAACTATGAGAGATTTATATTAAAAATAGACAAAACTAATGTGTTTTTCGCGAGTATTGTAGTACTTAATACTAGAATGTACAGAGGGATTATCAGCATGAGAAATAATGAGTAAATAATTAATTCTATTAAGTAAAGGATTATCGTCCTGCTGTGCAGTATATATATATATATATATATATATATATATATATATATATATATATACGTCTTACTAAATTTATGATTGAAATTTACATGTTTAAACTAGAGTACAAAGAACCGGTATTTGGAATAAATTAAAAATGACTAACTTGTAATAATTCATTCGCCGTAGCTCTTTGTTCTACATCCACTTCTAGGCAACGATCGAGGAAATTAAGAAATGTGCTTGATAAGCGATCACGTTCTTTAATTTCCGGTTTACCATTGGTAGCGATAAGATACAATGCCTAAAATATAATTGGTGTAAAAGAAAAACACGAGAATGTGAAAATCAATGATAACTGTTGAACAAATTGTTGCAATACAATGTATAAACAGTATGATATGTTCAACATTGAATGATAAATATTAAGATTTTTTGGGTGATTTTATGGACGAGTTTCTAGTTGTTAAAATGAGAGAATGTCGATCGATAGATAGAAATGTGATCGAGTGACGACTGATTATGAGGCTATATCACTGACGAAACCCATGTATGATTTAAAATCACCATTAACCCAGAACAATAGGTTTTTTATGTTATACGATTACTTGCTTACACATAGACTACGAACACAAAATAAACATGACAGAATGTCAGAGTTGATTGGAAGAAACCAGTTTACATGTTACTCAATCTCCAATTAATTAAGATCTGAATGTTAAGCCTAGTACTTGTCAGCTGTATCAATAGGAAACTTAACAAATGTGAACTATTCAGTTGTATTTAAAATTAAAGCCGATATATGGTACTTTTAAAGTCTGAGATGCATATACACTGGGAACTACCATAAGAAAGGGTGGTACTGTAGAATGAATATTTGCACCGACTTACTGGCTCAATATGATTCTGTGGTTACGTTTTTAACGAACAAATAATCCAATGTCCTTAAAATATATTACATGAAACGAAACCATGGCACAGTAGGAATCTTCATTGACCTTTCTTTTTACATGTTCACTAACGAAATCCTTTCAAGTTCAGTGTTCATTGGAACAGACTTGATAATTATTATGATTAATTGTATTATATGAATATTTGTAGGGAATTTACAAGAGAATTATTGTAAATGATACTACATAACTATGAGACAATTGTATGAGTAATTCTGAACTAATATACATGTGCACATCTTACAAACAAGTGACTATATTTATATAGACAGGATACAATATATTCTTACTCGAACAGGATTTTCATTTAGATAGGGTGGTTCACCATCTACCATTTCAATGGCCATAATACCTAATGACCATATATCCACCTTTGGACCGTATTGTTTACGTAAAACAACTTCTGGTGCCATCCAATACGGTGTGCCAACCATAGTTGAACGTTTAGTTCCATCATTGCTTAATTGTGCACAAAAGCCAAAGTCAGTCAGTTTTACAGATCCATCCATTCCAAGAAGAATATTGTCTGATTTGATATCACGATGAATGACGCGATTTGCGTGAAGAAATTCAAGGGCATGAAGTATCTATTAAGGATAATATAATAAACAAAAGTCAAAATGTACATTATACGGTAACACTTCACATTGGGTTGACGATTGGAATTATTTAGTTACTCTCATGACAAGTGATGTAGTGTAAAAAAATAATTTGTGTTGACTAATTTGATCTATAAAGAAAACAATAAATAATTTTAAATATCCGACGTCGTTTAGGTGATCATGATTTAATAACCTCCCCACTTCGCATATTTAGTGAACATTCGTAAACTCGCATTGATAATAATTACCATTTGTATTTATCAAATTACTCGAACAAAAAAATAACAGAGTAAAGAAAACATTTTTTATCTAGGATAAAATAATAACGAAAATCCAGTGCACTGAATTTCAACAACTTATATTAGAAAGAGTGATTGGTACAAAATACGAAGTTTAAGCATATGCGAACACACACATATGGGATAGGATACGCATTGGTAAATACATTGAAATCATTTTAAGACATCAAACTACGGCCAACTATTATTCAGTGTTTTCATATTCGTAGCTATCCTTAACAGTAATTAAATTTCATTTCTTAATCCTATTATAAAAAAGTAAATTGAAAATATTCACTAACAATACGATAGATACATGCATACGTACATGGTACTTTAATAAATGTCATTATAATCATCAAGACTATATGTGATAGGAATATATGCCGTCTGTTAATAATGTTACTACTGCCTTACAATGTAGGAGTCAACAAAACCAGGATGTATGTAAACATAAAATGCTGCGGTTTACTTAATCAATATATGATCAACACGTGAGGGTTTGACATATGTAATTCGGTCAGTCGCTCAGATCAAAATATACGCAATGCGACTTCTGATCATGACCTAACACCAGTTTAAACACGATAGTGCTCTTGTGGTTTAAGTAGCTGAATTTCATCATTCCACGAGATCGTTTGGAAATGTAGAAATGTAGATATTTTACCTAACTTTTGTAAAACATGAGCCGGCCTAGGTAAGACAACCATTAAAAACCTAAAAGCAATGGATGACCGTTTCGTCCCGGTATACGCGTCCATGAGCCTGCACGCGAGAGTCAAACCCAGGACCTTTGGATTCTCGCGCTTAACCTCTAGATCACGGTGTTAATGACTAATTACAACAGACTCACGGCCATCTTCCATTTCCCATACTATGATGAAACGGCCGTCCAGTGCTTCCGGGTTTTCAGTGGTGATCTAACTTAGATTAGTTCATGATTTTAATTAAATTCAGCAATCTCCAAAGTCCCATACTGAATAAAATAAGTATAACACTGACTAGTACACAAGTCAGTAGTAAAACAAATTACTTGCATCAACATAACTATAGAAACAATGTAGATACATATATTTATTGATAAGGATAAAGAAAAAAATTCAAAAACTCGGATGTGATACCAACTGATTTTTTCTCTAATTGTTCTTTCCGTTGTCAAAATCGTAGGAAAGGTATATATTCAGATAACTCCCTCTAGGCAACTGCAAGTAAATATGTTACCTTATATCCGTATAGAATTTCCATTTGTTTTTTAAGACAATTATAGATGATACAACGTTGAATATATTTGAAGGAAAGAACGATGGATAAAATGAACTAATTGATTTATTTAAACATTGGTTAAAATACCAAAGAATATGATTGCTACTTTGTCAAATATAAGATAAAGATTTTTAAATATATTTAACAGGCAAGGAAACAAAACAATTCTTGAACATATCAATAGATAGGTAATGGATCAATCTGTTAAATTTGAGAATAAAACGCTGTCAATCATAGTTGGAGCTCATTATCTGACAGAAAACTAAATCAATAACTGTTGGTGATAGACTGAGTTATCCATATACACCTACTGTCTTTTTTTATTATACTCAGTAATTCTCATAAATATTGAAGTCCATCATCGAAAAGTTTATTGGAACTGTTTTAGTAAGCTACAGATAGTAATAGCAGGGACCCGAGTTTGTTACTCTGCTCATAATGAATGGGTTTTGTAGAAGAAAAACTAAAAGGTCATCAAAAATTAAGGACATATTTTATCGGGTATATTTACTGACACATTGCAAGCTGGAGTAACGAATGCATAATGGCCTTAAGGCAATATGTACATACACACACACTTAGCCAGAAGAGAGTAGTAAGACTAAAACATGGATTGGATAGATAAGCAATAGATACGATAACAAAAACTTAAAACTGAAGTTAAAAAAGTGAGGGGAGAGAGAGCGAAGAGACATTTGCTAATATTTGGAACAAAATAAGGAATAGACAGACAAAAACGACAAGACAGCCTATCGGAAAGGGTATATAAAAACACTCATATGAGGACATAAATAAATGCAGTGATAAGTATATCGATTAAATTGGAAAATATATACATCTAACCCTGGGAAAAAATCTACGCACATTTTATGTACATAAATTGTTGCCTATCTGGTTTATTTTTCTTCTTGTTCATTCCGAAATTCTGTACACATCTGTCAATGAAAAGTGTAACGAATTCCACAATGCATCCATTTTTTGGGTTTTGCACTATGTTCTATCATAATCAGCTGATAATGTGAATAATTTATCAACCACAAGTTTCCTGAACTCAGTTTTGAAAATCTTGAAATAACTTTATGAAACTGTTTCAACAGTACAAAATAGCTTCCTATTAAAATATCACTCTAGAATTCTGCACACATCTGAATTGAACAACTAGTTTATTTTAGCCCTCAGAAAAATTCACACCTACCGATCAGAGTTGTTTATATGTATAATGCTATAACGGAACAGATATTGTAAATGTTGGGACTGGCTTTTGGAATTGTTATGTACTATAGCTTCGTTGTATAATTTATGGAGTAACTAGATTACTATGTACGTGTGTTCCGTTTATTAAAAGCTTTCGGTTAACCCGTAAACTACTGTAATACGACTTCCTATCCCTATATTGTTGCCGGTTTATTATTTACAGTCTACGCTAATCACAGACTTTTTGACTTGTTTATGTAAAACTGTTATTTTTTATTTTATAATGTGGTGTGGTCCGGTTTGTCTGAATATAACCCATGTCCGTCTGAAATATAATTGTAGTAGAAGCTGGTTGTGAATTTTGAATTCAAAGGATGGGCATAGAAAGGAGCTAGCAGACTAATAGGGACTTAGCTGTTGAATCAAGGTTAATAGTGCTAGTCAGACGTGTAATTGGACAAGTCAAAAACACTAAGCTATTCTTGAAATATTTAAGTGATTTAACTGTAAAAGATTTACATCTACAACCGTTTGAATTATTAAGTAGTTCACCAACGGTGTTGTAGTAATAATAGTGGTAACAACGAAATCAGTTTTAACAAGCAGATATTTTCTTTTCACAAGCTTACCTCTCGACAAATTGAAGCAATATGTCCTTCTTCCATACACGTCTCAGTGACAACATCGGTCAGTGAGCCACCATCTAAATACTCCATGACAACCCATAGTTCTTCACCTTTAGATGAATTGCCTGAACTAATTGTTGATGAATTGAGGCTATCATCCTTGTGAGTTGATTGTTGGTACTTGTGATTTGAACCATTCATGTAATGCTGATGATGATCCATATTGGTAGAGACTGAAGTGGACACTAAATAACTGTCTAGATAATTTACAATATTTGCTTGACGATTGGCCTTCATAACCAAAATTTCATTAATGATTAATTCTTTTTTAGGCTGTTGAGCTAAATTCATTTGTTTAATAGCCACTAAACTGCCAGTGGCAATCTCATATCCACTATATACCACACCAGATGCCCTGAAAAAACAACAATGAGACGATGTTTTTTTCAAGAAAAAAAACAATAGGAATGAGATAGTAATCTATGCTTTATGATATATCCACCATGTAAAGTGAAATTGTAAATTCATTGACAAACAAATTACGTCAAGTAAGAATATAATAATTATTTTATGTCAGTCCATCATACGCAACGTAGAGCCTGATACACATGTACATTGATTTAAGTTGTTATAACATATTAGCACAGCGAGTTAAAATTATTTCAGGACAAATCCCCAGATTTTATGGGACGGCAAGAAGTGAAAGTGAGTCATTATAGGGAATTCCGAACCATAATATATGGTGTGTGATTGGCAAAATTCATCAACCATCAACTATAGTCCTGTGGTGAGGTGATTTGATAATTAAAAAATATTCAACCAAGACCTGGCCTCACTAACTACTTCGATTTTAAGCAAGCCACATAATATGGTCTAGATATAGATATACAAGAAAGACCGTCTGTATACCTTAGAACTACGAAATTCAATAACAAGGGAACTCAGGATTTTTACTTAATGATTAACAATAGTAAACCCATTTATTTGAAATGATTTGTTATTAGCTGAAGTGATCATTTAACTAGATAGTTATGTACAAATCAACTATGATATCGGAGAGACAGGTCATTTAGAATTTGAAAACTTTAAACTAGCAATCCTCACAAGCATAAGAGATGATGTGGACTGTAGTAAATAAAGGCAGGATTAAAATGATTATATGGTAAAGGTACTTCCAATTACAGTTATTTTCCCCCAACCTCAGGTTAAGATGCGTATTAACTATAGTACAAAAAGCCCCAAATGAATTTCGGAATAAATAAATCAAAATGGTACATCGCGTAGCTAACTGAATACACTGGGTAACTGATCTATTCACTTCGATAAGTCCTGAAATAGAGTATGGTATGAAATTCGGATTTCAACTACTCTCTAAGGTAGTGCAAAACGATGCAATTCATTTTTAGAGAAACCAATGGACTTTTTATTTTGGGGATATACTACTCTAAAAGTACAAATAATCTCACAACTGATATCATTATTAGTAAAGGATTGAGTTATCTCGTTGTTAATATTCGCGACGGAACTTTGATCAGTTTTGTTGGTACATATACATTTATGTGGATTCCTTCGGGATATCATGACACAAGTTATTTAGAATAGATGGATTGTGGTTGGTAGTAAACGAGTCCCAAGTAGGACACAATTGTCTTTGCATTCCACTCCTAGCCATAATCCACTTATTTTAAATAACCACAAAACTTATTTTTTTAAAGTTCTCATTGATAGCAGCAAATGTGGTAGGATCGAGAAAACTGCCCATATTTATTCATCAGAATCTACAATTACAATTATTTATCCATAAGTGAGAGTATAGTAGAATTTAAGTAGATTGATATTACAACGATATAACTATCTGATTATCAAATGGATCAAGCACTCGACTCAAAAGGATTCGAGTGATGTGGAAGTATCAATAACTCAGACATAATAAAGGCAGCTCATGGCTCATCCAATAGTTGTTGTTTAGTAATTTGAATCTAGTGTCCTATTCTCATTATTATTAAAACAGCCTTCAAGTTACGATAATTAGACCTAGGGGAACCTACATTTTCGGAACTAAGCAAAAAACTAATAGCTGTTCTACTCTAAGAAAACGAAAACTTGAAGTGACAAGAAATTAAAAGGAAATAGGTTTTTATTAGAAAAACTTACCCTTGACCAATTTTATCTACCATACGATATTTTTGATATGGATCACCTTTGCTTACAATAGCTCTTAATTTATCATGTACCTGCTGATCTGTTAATCGATGATTCCCAGTACGACGCCTAGGTGCACTAGGTGTAGTCGATTTGGCTACATCTTCAGCAGCAGCAGCAGCAGAAGTGGTAGTTGTTGTAATCGTAGCAGTATTACTTGAATCTATTTTATTTGTAGGCGGTTGATGTGGGAAGAAATGAGGAGATTGGTGTATTTTAGTTTGCTGTTGTGTGCGAAACACATGTGTTAAACCCTGTGGTTTGACTGGAACAGCTGGTGGAACATTTCTATCGGAAGTTGATGACTGGATGATCTTCGATGTCTCACTATCTTTACCTATGAGGAATAAGCAGATTCATAGACTGATATAGGCACATAGGAAAATGCAATTATAGTTAGCATATTATGATTTAAGAGACTAAAATGTGAATTAGTTTTCCCTAAATCCAAAGACATTTGTCGAAACCTCCACAACTAAGGTATATAAGTATGTATTGGGAGGGGTCAGTAATTGTGAATCAAGATAGTAACTAAAACCTACGCATGAAAACACACATATTTTATTACTGTCATCGATTTGGACGGGTAAATTTGATGACATACCATACTGAAATTTACTCAATTCACTTACTAGTACTGACCAAATTTGGTATATTCTCACTATTTGTTGATGTTGTTTTGTTTGAAGCGAGTACACCATTCCGATTATCAAAAGCTTCACTGGTAACACCATTTTCAGATCCCTGTAATACATTTTGTAAAAATGGTTAGAAAGTATAAAGAAAACTCTGATTATCAATAAAATGTCATATGATAAGAGTTTATTTACTTACCCGGTTATTTAATAAATACTATAAAATCATTTCTATATATGGTCAAATAATACTATATAACTGTAAGATGCTATATGCAGGACATAGAATCTGGATATGAATGTTGGGGAAGTCATATATATTACGATTTGAAATTTGTGAATCTCTCCATTTCAGAAGTTGAACTTAATGTAAAAATAATGAAAAATATGTTTAATAAGCAATGTTATGAGAACAAGACATTTAGTTTCATTTTGCCCATACAGTTTACAGAATGGTTCTGTCTTACAAAACAAGCCACATCCTTGGAAAGAAACATAATAAACCTTACTACTAGCACGATACAATATACAAAACAAAAGATATATATATATATACTTTAGAAAATGTACAATTTATTCGCCACTAAGTATACCTTGGACATAGTCATTGGAGTAGGTAGATTACTACAAGTTCCACTGCTTGTCATCCATTCAACAGTAGCCTGAGATGTAGTTATTTCATTATTGCTTAATTCACTTTGTTCGTTCTCGCTCTCTTCTTCATCTTCACCTAACTCCTCATCTTCTTCATACTCTTCTTGTTCGTGATCTTCATCTTCAATATCCTCATCCTCTTCTTCATCGGAAGAAGATTCTCCGACCATTATACAGGATTCTGGAACTAATCTATCTCCATGAAATGGTAAACATGTAGACGATTCAGGGATTGTATTATGAAATGAAGATGTATGCCGTAGAGTACCTTCTTCTTTAACACTACTAATTTCAAAATTATTTGTACAACTTTCAGAAAAATCCAAATTTCTTAATACGACAGTAGTTGCATGAGGTGGAACAGGCGGTGGTGATGATGGTGGATAGGAGACAAATGAACAACAGTTGTTATGTGGTAACGGTGATTGAGATGGTAACATACTAGGCGGAAGAATACTTGTAGGACTGTTCTCATTACTATTTATACCTCCAAATAAATGTCCAACCATACTAGCTGAACTTGCTAAACCAGAAATACTGACACTTCCGCTAGCACCAGAGCAAGATAATGAACAACCACTGCTACTGTAAAATGATAAAACAAAATATTTGAAAAGAAAAACTTGATTAGAACCTTGCCAATGATGTAATACTTTTAGGGAGATTAATATAAATAACAACTGGTTCCCAAAAAACAGAACTAATGAACATATGAGTAGTAAAGGTCCTACTTTAGTGATTTTTGGGATTAAAACTTATTACTATTCTTCAATAACCAACTAATTGGTCAAAATTCATAATTTATACAAGTTTTATATAATGTTATCAAACTTATTAGCTAAACTGTTTTGTATTTAACACATTCTAAATTGAACAAACGTTTCTTTTGTAGCAAACTATATTTTAAACATTTCGTTTGCTGCTCAAATTATTTTATTGAGAAACCAGGTCAACACACTAATTTAAAAGAGGACAAGGGATTCGAAGTTCACAAAATGGCGCTTGGTGTATGAAATACCACTTGAATAGCTTACCGACTGCTGCTAAGTTCACCAAGACTAACATCATATGTAATCGGAAGAGCAGGAACAGATACAGTTGAATGACCATTATGATTATCACTAGCTAAATTGGCATCTCTAGCATGACGGCTATGATTGAGAAGTTGTCCATTTGTAAGGGTTCCTGAGTTCGCTGATATCATGGAGTCTGGCCCAGAACGAGCGATATCTCCTGTATTGTTAATGCTTCTATGATTCCCAAGTGCTGGAGACATTTCAGGAATTGTCGAACCACTTGCACGTCCACCAAATGTACGGGTTGGACTAATACCACCCAAAAATACGGCACCTCCTGTGCTTGTTCTCCTTCCAGACCCTGAAGGACACACGTGAGTGTGATTAGAAGTTAGTTCTACTAAACTTGCAGCACTCAAACCATTTGGAACACCACCACTTACACCACGACCACCAACACTGCCACTGTTAGTGGTACAACTGCTACCACGGCCGCTGCTATTGCTACCCGCACAAGAATGTGTAGTTGCCGGTAAAGCACTGGAAATTATTGTCATTCCTGTTAAACTAGTTTCAGCCATTGACATAATTAAATTATTTTCCTCCGTTGAAATAGGTGCAGATGATGATGTCGTAGAATTAAATGAAGCAGATTGATAGGAGCACGAATGTAAATAGCTGATGTCGCAATGACCTGGTGCGATTGGCATACTTTGAGAGGAAACTGAGCAGGAGCGGGAGTTGGAGTTCATCGATTCAACGGAGCCAGAGGAATCTAAATTTAAAAAGCAATTACTTCGTGTGAAATGGAAGAACAGAATGAACAAACAGTAGTACGAAGTGAACAGTACCTAAAGAAGCAATAAACAGTACGGTATAAATGATCCTTTGTTGAACTTATGATGAATTTGTAATTAGTTAGTGTGTACACTTCTGTGATTACACTTATTAATTCACCAATTATGATTGAATACGTGTGATAAGCAGAGTTTGATCATACAGAATGAGAAAAGTGTATCGACTCAAATTTCCCAAATTTAGATAAGAACAATGTGAAAAAATAGACGAACAGAGAACCACGTGGTTGAAAATAGCAAATAACAATGGAGAGTTGGAAGAAATGATGCATTTTTTTATTAAGACTTTGCTTATTAAACTGTGTGAGGAAAACTTGGAATGATTTCTAATTTAGGATCAACAATAAACCACTTTGATAAATTACATCACGAACTGATCTTGGTTAGACCACCACTGGGACCAGGAAGTAGTGGATGAGTTTTTCGTCCCAGAATGGGGCTCCTCAGCACCACCAAGGATCGAACCCACGAATCCCGGTTCATAGGCAATGAAAGATGATAGTTCAATATCGCAGATAGATGAAAGTTAAAACTGTGAATCATTGGATGCCGACTCAATAGTCTAAAGGTTGAGCTCTCTCAGTGAAAGCAACCACCAATGGGGTCGTGGATGAGGACTGAGTAAAAATCCCACACTACGACGAAACAACTCTCCGGTGATTCCTGGTTCTCAAAGACGGTCTAAGATTAGTCCGTGATGTGATCTATGGAGATTGAAAGCTCTCCACAAACCCATATACCAATAAACAACTTATTGACAGACAATGTACTGTGGCAAGACAACAAAAACGTCATTTTTTTATCAATGACCAATTGTCTACACGACCATTAAATTGATCACCTGTAGGAAATAATGAATGTACCAAAATTTATGCAACGACTTCCTTCTAGACCTCAGATTTAAACCAAAAAAAACGAAATAACGTACTTGTAATGACAGACACATTTGTCATATATTTATCTTTCTGTTTAGCCGATTCATCAAAACATTGTAGTACGCCAAGAAGGATTTCTGGATTCTTTTCTTGTTCTGTTCGTGATATATTTGATGCTGTTAAAAGCATCTGCCATGAAATAGGAAGACCCTAAAAAATCACAAGCACAATGTTATATACATATATGTTATGTTATGTTGAACACAATCCATATTAATCATTTCAACAAAGTAAAAAATCAACGTCAATAAGAGAAAATAAAACACAAGCCAAGAAAGAAATGACGAAACTAGTTCAATCATTTTATATTATTACTATTATCAAAGTACAGACAAACAAATATACAACAACGTGGCTGATTTACGACTTCACAGACACGTGTATTTCTCTATGAAAATTTCAGATAGACTTCATATTATTGTAAATTATTTTTTATAAAATAAAATGTTATTAGACGCTTAAATATATAAGAAAAAGAGAAAGACAACAGAATTCTCTATCTGAGGACATAGAATGATACTTATTAGATTTAACATCTAGTGACATTTAAAAATTAGATATATACAACGAACAAAGAAAAGATAGAAAAAGTATGATTAAATGGTCAGTCGTATATATATTTTTCTTAAAAATTAATTGACAGAATATTGGCCAAAACACTTCATGTATCTTCTCTGCACCCTAACTTCGTATATATATACATTTAGCTCCCGAGTTGACCGAAATATGTTCTGTTGTTTCTTCATTCCTATTGTTGAGAATAACTGAATCGGTAGACTAATAAGTGAAATACTGTTAGATTTAAAAATTTACAGATTTTACCAATTATAAATTTCACTAGAAATATGATATAATGAAGCATAATCAAACACTAAATTTCACTTCAGCTCAGTAAGTGGTAAGTAATTTTAAACAATTTGGACCTAATAAATGACATTTAAAGACATTATGAAATTAATTATGTCTTGTTTGAATATAAATGAATTGTAAATCAAGGTCCCACATTTATTACTAATAAAATATTTGTTTATGTATAAATAACATTTATCTCAATGAATGTAGATATTATTAGAATGATAACAGTTAACAATTAAGCCAATGAATTAAACATATACAATTATGTATAAATAACATAAAGAGAATAAAGTTGGGGAAAAAAGCAAACACTATAGCCATAGTCGGTAGCAGTAACCAATAAATTTGAATACTAGTTTTATTCTCAATAGCTAAAACGCATACACAAGTGAATTGAAAAGCATACAGAAACGGCTGAATATAGCATCATCAATCCATGAAGTTGTTAACTAGTGAGTTGAAAGATGAAAAATTCGTGGTAATTGTAATCTTTATTTAGACAACCAAGATGACGGAAATGTATTAATTCTCTTTTTTCTTCATTTTTTTGTAGTTTTGAACTGAGTTTTTTTCTTGACAACTCCGTTTATAATGCATGGCTGTGAAAATTTTGGTGTACATTGCTTCAGTTGGTGCATTTTTTTGTTTTTATACTTGAGAAATTTACCAGAGAAAAGATATATATGATCAGGTTTATTTCTTCAGGATTTCTTGTGATATACCATGGAAATAAGTAGTTAGATTCAGTGTATTTCTACATGATAGTGCGAATGTTACTCAATAGGTATATATATATATATATATATATATATATATATATATATATATATATATATATATATATATATATATATATATATATATAACATGGTATTTATGTAAGTTAGTTGAATCATATGTGTCAATACAGAAAGAGAATAGTAATGATTTTTGATATCAAAAAACGAACGGACATGGTGAATAATAAAGAAAAATCTATCGTAATGATTGAATTCATGAATCAACTGAAGCTAGACCACCATGGAAAACTTGGAAGCACTGGACGACCGTTTCGTCCTAGTATGGGACTACTATAATATTTATAAAAACCCTTCTCTGATTAAAAAAAAACTATTTGTATGACAGACACAAAGGTGAAACTAGTAAGCGAAGTAGGAGAAAGGAAAAAAATAGAACAAAAGGTCAAACACAATCGACAATCAATTAATTCTTGAAAATAATCGTTTCAATTTGTCAAATGAGTAGGTAACTAAAGCTTATACTTTTTAATGTAAATAAAAATAATAGACGTAATGCATACATTAGTTTATAATCATTCACATAATTGATGTGTTATCTTTCAGAAAAAATAATAGCACATATGATTAAATCATTCACTTAAATATAATGTTTCTTAAGTGATCTAACTTGGATAAAATATACACTTGGGATGTATTTGTCTGTGTTATTTCATAGATTGTTTATGCAACAATTCGCCTACGTGACTAGTAAGTAGCTTAATGGGAAAGAAAAACAATGAAATTAACAATAACTATCTAAATAAAAATATACTTCTTTCCTACATATAAACCACATGATTTGGCTGTATGCCATAAATTACATTAGACAAGGAGAGTGTAAAATGAAGGATACATATTTATTAAGATAGTAAAAAGCAAGAATTGACCAAGATGTGCAACAGATTTTCGTCCCAAATGTAGTACAACATATTTGGAAAGATATTATTGTTCTATATCCAACCCCTGAATGCCCTGGTACGGCCGAGAGTGGGGAGAGTCCGCTCTCCCTCTCGAAATACTCTCACACGGCCACGCGTATACAGCCTCTGCCAGGGAAGTCCTACTCATTGCCTTCTCGTGGCGGGGGGGTTGTTTACGAAAATGAGAGGACGAAAAGCGAATGTCCGGCGCTTTAACCGGATTCCAAACCAATGGTGCACATGGGCTCCAGTATCCTGCGGGAACAAATGGCGTATGAACCAATCGTTGGTCACCGGCTTCCATGGGATTGCATCTCCTTACGATGCTCCACTGCCTTGTGGGTTAGACCTTTAGGTCAAAGGCTCGGGGTGTGGCCCCCTAAGATAATCACCTGCTTCGGTTTGGGCACCCGGGCAGTATCACAGCCCACATACAAATGATGAACTCTTTATGTCTATGGAAATTACTTTTCTCGTTTCGAAAAACAATCAATTGATTCGAATTATTATCATTACAATTATTGTCATTATTAATACTATTATTATTATTACTATTATTGTTATTATTATTATTATTATTATTATTATTATTATTATTATTATTATTATTATTATTATTTTCCACATTATTCACCCTCTTTTATACTTATACAGCGGCTCGTATTTGGTGGAAATTCGACTGTATCTAAACGTTCTCGAGTCACTGTCCGGTTGAAAATTGTATGTTACCACCGAATATGAGGACTGAAGCAGTTTTTCTGAAACCATAGGGCTGGCTATGTCTTTAGAAAGTCTTAATATTGATGTTTGTTGTCTATCCAAGACCCGTATTCAAGACTCTGGCGAAGTACTACAAATTCGCTCTACATCTGTCACTTCAAAAAGCTTGTTTTACGTGCGCTTATCCGGGGACCCTGTGGCGTCTTCGTCTGGTCTTGCTGGCGTTGGTGTCGCACTAAGCGCTAGAGCTGAGGCAGCACTAGTCGATTGGATCCCCATTAACAGTCGGTTATGTGCTGTTAGATTAGAAAGTTCCATCAAAGTGAGAAGAAATCGGCGTGAGAAACGATGTCTTTTCGTCATCTCCGCCTATGCCCCGACAGATTGCAGCCCGGATGCAATCAAGGATGAGTTTTACCACCAGTTATCAGTTCTTCTCCAGAAAGTGCGTTCGACAGATATTGTGGTACTAGCCGGAGACTTGAATGCTCAGGTCAGGCGTCTAGGCACAGAAGAGAGTCGTTTAGGTGGCCGATGGGGACTCGTTGGTCGCAGGTCAGATAACGGAGACCGTCTACTGCAACTTTGCACAGACCACAACCTGTTTCTGGCTAGCACTAACTTTCGGCACAGTCATCGCCGATGTGCCACCTGGCGTTCTCCCTCTGCATCTCAAGCCTAAACTCAGATTGATCACATCGCGATCAGCTACCGCTGGCGTGGTTGTGTAAAAGACTGCCGCTCCTTTTGGAGTACCTATCTGGACTCTGACCATGCCTTGGTCTGCGCCAATCTTGCCTTACTTTGCAGTGGACAACGAAGTGACTACCACCAAAAGATTGATGTTAGCAAGCTGGTTGCAACTTCTGTTGCAAGTCAGTATCGAACCGAGCTAGCCTCTAGGCTAGCTACCACTCCACCGAAAAGTATAGATGAGCATTGGTTGCAATTGCATTACGCCATGAAAATGGCGGGAACAGTCAGTTGTGGGTTTGCGAAACGTCCCGTTTTTAAGCACTGGGTTTCTCCAGGTTCCTTACAACTCATTGAAGCCCGTCGGTCTACTCCGGGTGACCGTGAGTTTGACCACAAACGAAAGATGTTACGTAATGAAATCAGGCAAAGCTTGCGTAAGGACCGATAAGCCTGGTGGTCGAAGCGTGCTAATGAGCTGGAAGCAGCAGCTGCATCTGGTAACTACCGGAAGCTCTTCCAGCTCATCCGAGCCACTGGCAGCAAGAAGTCTGGTGTGAGTGAAACAATCTGCGAGGATGATGGGATGCCAATCACTAACATCCATCGACGTCTTGGACGATGGGCAGAATTTTTCGAAGGGCAGTTCAACTGGCCTGCTGCTCCGGCAACATCGGTCAGACTGTCCTGCCCTCCATGGCCGGTGACGACTGATCCACCAAACGAGGAGGAAGTCCGCAAGGAACTCCAACTCTTGAAGCGTTACAAATCACCTGACCCAGATGACTTACCTCCGGCTCTTTTTAAAGATGGTGGTGACTTTTTGACTAAGGAATTGACGACGTTGTTTACAAAGGTTTGGGAACTAGAGAGTGTACCAACGTCATGGAATGAGTCGATAGTTGTCCCTATCTTTAAAAAGGGTTCACGTCGTTCCTGTAACAACTATCGGGGGATAAGTTTACTTCCGACTGCGTCCAAGCTATTGGCTTCCGTCATTCTTCGTAAGTTGTTCAAAACCCGAGAAAGATTGACTCACGAGGAGCAGGCTAGGTTTCGTTGTGGTCGAGGATGTATTGATCATATCTTCACCCTCCGCCAAATGTTAGAACACCGCCATACTTTTCAAAGGCCAACAATCGTAGTGTTTCTTGACATCAGGGCTGCCTTCGATTCGTTGGATAGGATAGGGTTACCCAATCTCACCATTCCTCTTCAACTTTGCCATCGATGGCATTCTGGAAACAGCTCTGATGAATGTAAGTAATGGTGGTGTGGATCTGTTGCCTGGAGAAAGACTTCTCGACCTTGAGTATGCGGACGATATTGTCTTACTGTGCGATAATGCTCAAGGCATGCAATCCGCACTTAATCAGTTGACAATCAGTGTTCGTAGGTATGGTATGTGCTTTGCACCTTCGAAGTGCAAAGTACTTCTACGAGACTGGCAAGATTCCAATCCTGTACTCACTCTGGATGGTGAGCAGATAGACGTAGTCGAGAAGTTCGTGTATCTGGGTAGCTGCATAAGTGCTGGTAGGAGTGTGAGTGATGAGATCAATGCACGAATAGTGAAAGCCAGAGCGGCTTATACCAATCTGGGCCACCTTTGGCGCCTTTGTGATGTTAGTCTGGCTGTAAAAGGTCGGATCTACAACGCGTCGGTGAGAGCAGTTTTGCTCTATGCTTGTGAAACCTGGTCTCTCCGAGTTGAGGACGTTAGACGACTCTTTGTGTTCGATCATCGCTGTCTCCGAAGGATTGCTGACATTCAGTGGCAACACCATGTCAGTAATGCAGAGGTTCGGCATCGTGTGTTCGGGCACAGAGATGATAATTCAATTGGTGTCACCATCTTGAAACACCGACTTCGGTGGCTTGGACATGTTCTCCGAATGTCGTCCCAGAGAATCCCACGTCGTGCATTATTTGCCGACTCTGGGACTGGTTGGAAGAAGCGGAGAGGTGGTCAGTGCATGACATGGTGTCGTGGTATGAAAGAAAGCTGCAAAGGACTGGCTTCTGTTGGTCCTTCACGACTCCCTGGTTGGGGTCCGAGAGATGGTGCTACACAGTGGCTAGAGACGTTATCAGATATGGCTCAGAATAGAAGCCAGTGGCGATCCTGCTGTAACCTTCTTTTGCTTTCTTCATAAAAAGTGCTTGTGTCTCCTTTACCTGAAAGATTCATTCTGATTGTACCTTTTTGTTCTGTCGTTACTACCACACTACCTTACTCCAATCTCTTCGTCATTGTTCTCTTTTTCTTTTGCGCTCCTTAGTTTTTTTTTCTACTTCTCTTCGAATTCTCATTGTTTTGTGTGGCGCATATATATTGGCGCTCTCTTGTACCAATATTCATGTGTTCAAATAAATAAATAAATAAATATCCATTATATTATTAAATCCTCATTTTTATTTTAAATTAACACATTAGATTTAATTTGTAATAACTGACTCAATAATTAAAATTCATTAAACTCGGTTTAATTTAAGTAACACTTTTAACACAATCACGACAATTAGATTAAAATATCCCGGCTATATTACAGTTAATTTGAAACCATCTTGTTACTATGATTAAATTTAAGCAAATTATAACGGACATACGTAGTACACTGCAATCGTAAAACTAATTGAAGAAATATTAACAGATTTCAACGATTGTATCATAAATTCTAGATAAAATAAAACTCAGTATACATATACAGATTTAGGTACTCAGACTAGAGGAACATTTTATTTTTGTTTTAGCTACATACTACTTGACCGCTACTGTGGTGTATACTACTTATGTTGGCAGACATAAGTAGTATGTAACACCAGATAGAAGTGGAATGCCTGGTATCAGAAGGTTGAGATCAAATTGAAGAGAACAGAAATGCAAACAGAGAGTTTGCAAGAGACAATCAATCGGAGTGCAAATGAGCAATTTAATGTATGGTTTTCATATTTTAGGAAGACACTGCGATTTTGTATTAAACAATAAATTGGTCTTCCCCACCAAGTATTAGTTCACTACACTACTACCATTATTACTACTACCCAAATCGAAGTAATTGAATTGAAATGTTTGAAAGTGTAACTCAATAGTTAAAAGCAGTGTTTCTGAAGACTACGAAGCAACTAATCCAACTATCATGTACATATACATCACAACTCCGAACAGGTAAAAGTTAAACGTAAACATATAGAATAAAAATGGTGCATCGATTCAGTGATTCAAATAAAACAGTAACAAGTTGGAAACAATACACTGAATACCAAATACCTTAATAAAAACTATCCGAATACAAATCCTCTTAGAAAAATCATAACAATAATAATAAACAGAAACATCAGTTAAACTTTCCATATTTATATACAGATAATTTGAGAAATGTGGCCTCGACCTACTGTGAGCTTCCAGAAACATACTAAATATAGTAACAGGATAATTAATTATTCACTCAAGCTGCTTGCTTTTTCTAGATGTTTAAGACACCTTTTTATTCAATGCTGATTAACCGAGAAGTTTTCAGCATTCACCTGACTTCTGGAGATTTTCTCGAGGAATTACCGGGAGCTCCAAGCATTATCAAAGTAAAACTTGTAAACAACGAGTCTATTCTTATCGACTTTCTTCATGTTTCATACGATAAATAGTTTTCCTGTCTAAAATTATTCTTCTATCATAAACAAAATAAAAACGAAAACGGATTTCTAGCCTCATACATTAAACTGAATACAGTTCGCTGATTCATATGATTTGTCAAATAAAATTGCATGGAAAAAACATACATGGTTCATAAGTAAGATTTTTAAAGATACAAAACTAATATGGCATATAAGTGAATATTTGTAACGGTACGTGTATATGAACATGAAAATGTTTTTTTGTTTATTAAAGACTGAAATCTAAACTCCTGATTAAATACAATGATAGCTATGATATATATATATATATATATATATATATATATATATATATATATATATATATATATATATATATATAATATTAATAATTAGTGATTGTTTACCAAAGATCTACTTTGAAAGCAGTTTTAAAAGTCAAAGAAAAATAGTGAGTCAACTGACCTTGATTTCGCCTGTGGACTTATCAAATGCCACATGTAGGTTATGCGTAACTTCTGTAGGACCAGAAATTTGTGGTTCAGTTTTTTCCGATCGACCGAATTTAGGAAATCGGAACATTTTCACTAGGTAAGTAAAAAAAACATTGAAGATCACCTATCTACAAGTTAATTTAACCATATAACAAAAAAGACGTTTATTTTTGTGGGGGATTCAGAAAAAGGTATTGTTACTGATAGATTAGTAGAGATTGTTGGATTTTCATGGAATGCATCAGGTATTGATTTTAGCTACACAAGTATTGAAAACTAGAAAGCATTGAACTGTTTTTTTGTAGTATAGGACTCCTCGGCAATGTGCTGAGGACAATGCGGTATGTAATCTATGAAAGTATTGTTTATTAGATGAATGATTGAGATACGTTAACGTGATAATAAGCGCCATTTGTACAGAAACTGATATAAATGTGTTTAAATAGAAATAATTGCTACATAGATGTGCACAACTACCGCACGCACAAAGAATCTTTTGTTCACAATGAAAGAAGGTTGGATTTAAGATTCATTCATAAAAGAAGTGGAAATCAGTAACAGTTCATTTACTTGTAAAAACGTAAAAAGTGATTGTTTGAGTCCCATACTTGACACACATAAATAATTCTAGTGAGTGTGTAAAAAGCAAAATGATTTGCGAATCATACACTTCACTACCTGCACACTTTTTAACGGCGTTTATGTGTTTTTTAATAGTTATTCTAGCTAGATAAAAGCATATAGGTATTTGTCTGTCAGCAAAATAACAAATAAGCGGATGAAAATATGCATCAAAACGACTGAGAATTACTCAGAGATTCTTTTTGTCATAACTGCCAATCGATAACGGGATAAACTGATATTTTCAATTATAGGTGAATCCACAGAAATCAGACAAAATGAAAAATACCTATATGATACATACAATGGTTTAAGAGAGTTTGGCGATTTAAAAACGTTTATAACATCAGGATTTAAAAAAAAGATGCGACAAAATGTTACACACATGGTGAAAATAGAAATGTGCAATAGGTTTAAACACAGACACATACAAAAGTAGATGAGACATACAATAATAATAATAATAATAATAATAATAATAATAATAATAATAATAATAATAATAATAATAATAATAATAATAATAACAATAATAATAATAATCTACATAGCTTTTACTAGTTACATTAATTCTACACTAACCATCTAACATATGTTGTGACTCAAGAAGAATTGTATCAGCAACATATTATTGTCTTTTGCAGATGAGATGCATCCATAGAAAAAGTAAAAATGATACGAAAACTGACACTGATCCATTGACTTTTTTAAAATGAACATTATAAGGTGGCTGCTAAGTGAACAAGACTGCGTGTCACAAAAGTAAAAGTATAATTATATATATATATATAAGTGTAAACAAGTAGTCACATGGAAGGTTCTTAATTTCCATTAGTTCATTATCAGATAACTGATAATCCTTTAAGAACTATCCATTATAAATACTACTGATAGTAGTAATAGGGGGATATATAGTATGCAGAAAAACACTGATCAATCATTAATTTTTTTTAAAAGAGCATGGGTACTGTAATATATTTTTAACAAAAAAAGAGCGAAACCAGTTAGAATAAAATGCATACAGAGCTTATAGTTGAAATATTCCTTATTGCTGAGATAATTATGTAATAAACAACTAAGTGTCGATCTAGTTAGTACACATTTCACATTCTTCTTACGAAAAATTATGGTTCACTGATAAAATAGGATAACTGTCTCATACTATTTGAAGTAGGCTTGAAAGTGCTTCTACATAACCACCTAACTATACAGGATATTTATTATATTAATGCTACAACTATATCGTGTTTTAATACCCTGATAAATTCTCAAAATCGCATTCAACCTAGTTTATAATAGTGTTGAGTCACATCGTTGTTAATACTTTTTGACTAGATTTCAATCGATCTTAGTGCGTTAATCGAAGATTGAGTTTAACCGTTCCAAATTTGAAATAGATAAAATCAATCGATAGGTCTCTTGAAAATATCACCTACATGGGATACAATGAGAAGTGTTAGGTAAACAGAGTTAAATTCATTAAGACCACAGTGAATACTTTTAGCTAAATTCCCATATTATTTTCTCATGATGCGCACAAACATAATGAATAACCACGCTAAAATTATGATAAATTATTGTTTTCAACTAAGCCACCTGATATTAATTCACCTTGGATGATGATGATGATTTATGTGTAATCAGGTGATATGGAAATTATAGCTTAGATTATTCACATAACCTGGAGATTAAAAAAACTGTCACAAGTGCATTTTGATATTACTAGGACTATCATTTACCCTCCACACCGTACATGTGATGTTTTTATTAAATGATAAGTCGTCTAGTCATTTTCATCACACTCTACTCCACTCTGATGTTGTACTTGTAAGGTTAATGATGATACTCACGAGTTAGGCTTATTATTAAGCACAATATCAACACATTCTATAGATCAGACTAAATGAATATTTCCTAGGGGTGACAGTGAGTAATGATCTTAAGACGACGGCCCATTGCCGGGAGGTCGCAGCCAAGGGGTTTCGAACCCTCTAGGCTTTAAAAAGGACATTCACTAAGTTAGATACTACCATGTTCACCACAGTATACACATCCTTAGTGAGAACTAAGCTAGAGAACTGCGCTCAGGCTGCAAGCCCCTGTTTAAAAGGTGACTCGGACATACTAGAAAAAGTACAGAGGGCAGCTACCCGTGCAATTCCGGAACTCCGGGGTTTATCATACAAAGAACGGCTTGAAAAACTGGACCTCTTTACTCTGTCCTATCGCAGACTAAAGGGAGATCTAATTTTGATGTACAGAATACTGAGAAATGATTTCGGATCTAACTTATTCTCTCTCTTTCTTCCCACTAGATCGGGACACCTTAGAGGACATAGCAGGCGAGTAGAAAAGCCAAGAACGAACAAAATACCCGTGGCATACAGGTTTTCTCACCGCGTCATCAATACTTGGAACCTGCTGCCTGAAGTAGTGGTGTCTGCACCTTCAATTGACTCTTTCAAGAGAAGACTGGACACTCACAGAAGCATACTAGAAAAGGAATAGCATAGGCCGTATGCCTTCTGTCCTTACTACACAAATCTGAATCTTAATAAATGTCATAAATATACCGTGATGTACTATATATGATTAGTAAAGAATGAAGGAATAAAGATGTAACAACAACAAGAAAGATGAGTCATAAACGTTTAAATATAGAGAAATATGCAAGTGTAGCATGAATAGACGAGATTGTGGGATAGAAAGAGGGCTAGAAAAATTAATGACATGTGCACACTTTCAACAAAAGAATATTGAATATGTTATTTTTTCAATATCATCAAGTTTAGATAGACTGGTATGTCTGTTTTCATGAACAGACGTAGACTATGTATACGGTATGGACATGTTAACGTATACTTAAGTGTTTTATTTCGTACTAATGACAGTTTATGGTGTGAAACTAGGTTTCAATTTATGCCGTAGTATAGACACCAAATATTTTTCTGACTACTTAATACTGAATGAAAGTAAGATGCACAAAAGGGATAATTCACACAGGCAATAAATGTAAAATATCCAGGAATAGTATAACAGGCATAGGACAATAAAAAAACATGCAATCTGGTTATTTATTTAACTCAATCGGATATTCAAATGCCTATTACTAGTCAAGTGTACTATGCTATATTATCTTACTCTAAAGACATGAAATGACTAAAAGAGAGACACTCAAGAGTTGTACGAACATAGATACCAACGTTTTTTGAACTATTCCCAGTGCTGAGATAACCAAGCAGGTGTTGAGATTCGGTGTAGACAGTTACCTGAAAGAGTGAAACTGATGAATTTATTACTTACAAGCTGTGGTTGGAACAGGTACAATGAAAATCTAGCAACCGTCGACCACAATATGTTTCGACAACTGAACAAGAATAGGAAAGGCTTAAATGTGGCAAGAAATGGTGATATCCATGCATAAAATTTGAGCTGCAAAGGTAACTATAGTCTTCCTATATAGTGTCTGGGATGGATCCCAAATCCATGGTTTGCGAATCTAGATGATATAGACCAGGTCGGTCATAGTGGTACAAATATAGTCAATCCTTTATGTCTTAATTAGTTATCAATAAAGGTTTATTTATTTATTTGAACACAAATATTGGTATAAAGGGGCACCGAATAAATATGCGCCAGACAAGTCACTAGATTTATGTGTGGGCTGTGATACTGTCCGGGTGCCCAGACCGAAGCTGGTATCAATAAAGGAGATTTAATGCTTATATCAAGTAAACTTTTCCCATCCACTTATGCAAATTGTTTCACATGAATAGATATTTATATATCTTAAAAGTAGCATTAATTTATTCCATAGTTAACTAACAATATTCTATACAGAATGACAGACTCAATCCACAAAAACATGAAACTTAATGTGCTTTTTCTAGCGATCTCTTATTTGATGAAAAAAAGAGGTGAAACAAAACTTCATAGAAGACTAACCTTTCTTTTTCTTTTTCTCTTCTTTCCCAGGTGGAGTTGGCAAAGGTTTTGATGGAGGCAAAACAGGTTTGTTCTTTTTACGCCTACAAAATGACAGTAATATGTTACTAAAACTCGTATTGAAATATATCTTTCATTTATTTGGTACATCATTGAAGTTGATATACAATCTAAAGTAAGCACCTTTGTAATAAGTAGGTTTATACGACGTAATAACTTGAGTCAGACAACTAATAAATACTAAAAGGTATTGGACAACTGCTTTGTTTTAGAACAAAAATCAAAAGAGTCCATTCACGACCACGATAGGGATCGAACCCACAACTTTTAGGTCACGCGGACAGCACTTGGCTTTTAGACCCCTGAGTTGAGATACAGCAGTTTAGATATCTAAATTCAGTCATTTTATAATATTATACAACCACTCCAATTGGTGATATTTGTCAAATGATTAACACGGTCAGGTCCCCCAAGGTCACGCTTTCTCGCTAGAATCTCGAAAATTACCACTTGGATTTCGCCACTAGTGTAGTGAACAGAACACGGGTGGGGACAATCGAATGTATCTAACACAAAATTACAGGACTTGTTAATAAAATATAACAATCATAAAGTAAATGCTTAATTTGCAAAATGTCCACCAATCGTCTCAAAATGACCCAGACTTCATTGTTCTTGCATTTTCATACAAATTGCATCCTGTTTCCATTCTTTACTGTTCGATCCTCTTGTCTCTCTGCTGCCAGACCTTCTGTTCACCACAAACATCACATACTACTTATGTCAATATAAGTAGCACACACCACACTAGTAAATACATGATGATTGTAAGTACAGGTGGTTGTGGAGAATGATTTTAATGATCAGAAATGGAGCTGTCTGAATAATATACTTTTTAAAATTCCAGGACCTACAGTTATCAAACGCCCAACTAGTTATAGAATGAGACATTTCCGGAAATTAGCCTGGTTGAGGGTGTAATGTTAGTAGCATAGATCATTTCTGTTTTTAAGTAAAAGAATATATACTGATGCCCCACATTAGATGTATTATTTCACTAGAAGGCCATATCTCACTTTGACTACGGCGTCTTATGGAAGTCTTCCCATGAAGAAGATACGGAACGAATAACTAAACTGTCTTTTACATGGACGTATAATATCAGTTGACGGACGATACATAATTATTTAGTTACCGAAAACCAGTGATGAAAGCCAGAAATATTTGCTTTCATCTTTTTCTCGACTTAGTTATGGATGAAGTTGCAGGCAATTATGTTTACTTCAGACTCCACATGGACTTTCTACTCAGACTTCAATCGACCTATAAAACAAACGTACCTTTATCAGGAGAAAACACGAACGATTTATCGGATCATTGACTTATACATGTTGAATACCATAAGTGCTTCGGCTGGATTCTCAAGGTGTTACAGAGCAACGCTTGATTGAAACAGAGTATAAACGCTTAATTTAATGTAACTAACTTCAAACGAGAGTGCAAAACTTGGAATTATGCATTTTGTGAAAAAATCCTACCTACAGCACTTTCTTCGGTTAGCATAACTGATCAAGCAGAATGAATAGATTGTTAATTCTGTTAGTGAAGAATATCACGCAACTGTTGAGAATCAGTAGATAACAATAGAATGAGTTATTGCATATGCTGCTTCGCTCACTAGGTCACGTGGATATCAAATAAAGCCTTGTCTATCTTGTTCAAAAATTCACATAATTTTAATGATCTAAACATGTTGAAACACTCGAGTTACACCACAGGAATATGGATTTTGGTTAATATGTACCACCCTAGACTTGACAAATCGATGGTACAAGTTGCACAACCTGATAGTTCCGTTTAAGAAAAACACTTAGGATGGAGAGACGAGATAAAAACGATCATTTTACCTAAGTCTACTAGAACATACCAAGTCAACCCGTTAACCATAAACTTTGTAGAATCTGAGACAGATGTGCTACACCACGTTAGAAAGACAAGATGAAATAGCAAAGTGGTTGAAGTAGTAGTGCTTGTTAATAAAAAACTAGGCATTGCGAACTTACTTTGAAAAGGAAGAATGAAAACAGAATAAAAAGTACTAATATTCTGAAAATGCAAGATGAATGGATTTGTGCCGCAGCGACCGATTTTGAGCTATCTACCAATGTTTCAAACTACAAATAGCAGTCGGTTCAGATAAAAAGTCGACGACTTCATGGAGTAACGTCACGTTTTGGTTTGGCCACCCCTAGCTTTTCTCCAGCCTATTATTATCTGTCATTATTGTGTTGAGGTACGTAATGGTTAGGTATAATTAACACATATCTTAGCTAACTCAGTCTATGAATACTTAAAGCTTCACAAATCGAATTGCTACGTGCATGTAATGTCCTGTACAACTAACACTGTTCACCCGATGGCTGCATACTTATTCACCAAGTAAAGGTTTTATATACTCTGAGACAGTGTGCTGGTTAATGATCCAACCTGGCTTTGCAAACAAAGGTAGATAAAACGTGGTTCGAATCTGCCATTTTTTAGTTGAAAGTTCCTTAACTACTAAGGCACAACTACCATACATAAGCAATACTTCGAAGATATCTATGGTCAGGTACTTGCAGTTTACGCATATTTCCGCTATATAGACCGTTCCAGTCTTAGAGGAACATACGATGGACCGCTGTATATTATGTAAATCTTTTGATTAGAAGACATCATGCGTGAATCATGTGATTTATTTGAACACATATTGGTACAAAGGGGCACCAAATATATATGGGTCACTGGTAAAAGCCGAAGAGATGTGAATGAGTTGAGATTTCGTTACTCCCTAAACTATCATGGGTGATAAGGCTTTCAATAAGTCATATTGCCCTTGCCACTAGTTACTTTAGTCCCTATAATAAGAATACACATTGAGAAAGACTACTCCTGGAGCAACATTTTGCATTTAGAGGGAGGTAAACGCATTCTAAATGCTCTTTTAATTGCTACTCAGGGCGATTAAGAACTGGTGTCAATATTTCTACCAAAAAAACTATGTCTCCGTAGTTGGTGTGGATAAGGGAGTCTCTACGTTAGGTGAATATTGTTGTTTCCAAGAGCATACTTAAAACAAAGTTAAATAAAAATTAGGGGACGCGAACAGTCATGATGAACAAATACATTTAGGCAGTAGTTTGGGAATGTCTTATCCAACCATCAAACCTTGTTTATTTTTTTACTAGAGCAAAAATTTCACTTTGAAGATAACCACGATAAATTGGTGTCCGCTAATAATGTCTACATTTACAATTTACATGTTAAGGCACTGATAAAACATAGAAATGGTTTCAGATCAGTAATAACCAAACCAACGAGTTTTCCCTAATCTAGTTTAACAGCTACAGTTGACTGTGCATTTATTAACGTAGTTTATACTTAACGACCGTTAATTGGATTTAGCAGCAGAGGAAGAAGAGAATACAGCTTGGAGTTGTTTAATACTTAAAGGACTCGACTTTCAGTCGTTGAGCTACAGCTAAGAGCTTTGCTTCATTTTGATACATGACAGTAATACTAGTCTTTATAAAACGTTGGTGGCTAAAAACACATGAACGTACATTTGGTTACCGATTTGCGTTAAACTTTAATTATTGACCTGACCAAGACAATGGTCAGCAAATAACTGATCTAATGTAGTAAGATACATCATTTACAAGCAAGTTGAATGAGCTATGGTACAAATATGGTAACATCATTGTTGAGGATGTAGAATTCCCAAATATAACTTATGAAAAAAACCAGTTTTAAGTTCGCATATCAGTTTAAGGTCAACTGTCAACACATTTTTGTTACATTAATTTATTCAGTGAATTTTGTTCATGGACTTTCAATGTTTCCACTTGTGCAGATAATTCTCCTAATGTCTTGACCAACAAGGAAAGAAGAGGATATAATGGTCTCATTCACAGTATTGAAGTTGGAGTTTGGTGCACAGGCGTATCAACCATATGAGAATCGAACATTACATTTTGAGGTTCTTCATAAAACTAACAATCGGTCTCCGAGGATACACATTGATATTTAAATTGTGCCAAATTTAGACGAGTATAGCAAAGCTGAAGCGAAGTCAAGTATGAAGTGTTGAAATACCGTAACAACATTATTTTTAGGGATGAGATTTGCACTTTAGAAATACGAAGTTTAGCTGACGTCCTTGATTCAAATAGTTTACTTACACCGCTTTCTGAAAACACGGATCCATGTGGATATAGAAGGATCAGCTTGGGAGCAGCTGTATGAAGATATTAACTCAAAGACATGTAAGATGGTTTGTGTCAACATTATGTTCCCTGAATTAATGAATAAGGACTGATTCATCTGGAGTTGAATAAATAAATCTCAACCAGACTATTAGTGATGTACTAGACAATAGGAACTCCAAGATACCCTGACAGATTAGGGTGCGGTTTTAAAAGTCTACTAATCTAATTTTGTAGACCATTATCTTATCCATACAAATGCGGAATTAGGTTAGGAACGTATAAACTACTTACAGTTTTGTGTGATGGAGGAGAAAAAAACATAGTCATATAGCCAAACATTAAAAATGGACTGATTTCAGTCTGACGAATGAAACTCAACTCATCTCTTTAGTTGGCTAACACTGATTATAAAATTTTAAGGGTCAATTTGAGTCACTTAACTTTACGTGGAGTTAAATATGTTTGGCAATTTTACTGTGGGGAAACTAATAAATTAGGATGTAGAACACAGCATCCTAAGTTGAGTAGCGACTTACTTTTGAAGGTAAATTATGACTAATACAGCTATCTCTGATAGGCGAGACCATAACTTATGGACAGCAAGTCTTGAATTTTGGCACGAAATCCAGTCATTCACGCAGTCAAATGACACTTTGGAATTATAGCTGATATTAGTACGTGATGGAAAACCTTAACTCCAATCCCTAACTTTGACTTGTAACCTCGAATACTCTCCTGGCCCTAGTAAGATGGTAAAGTTTTCCAAGTTCACCAAGATTCTTTGTAAATTATGGTCTCGTCGATTATTATGAACTGGTGTTATAACTGTCAAGTTTAGCAGCAAACTATCGCTGGCTAACCTTCTTCCGTAGTGGCTTAGTAGTAATTGGATTGTTACAGACTACAATAACCAGTTGCGAATGGTCTACTGTGAATTTTTCATTCACGTCAAAAAGGAAAAACAAGTACAGGATGCCCATCAGTTGAATCTGACCGACAAAAACCACAACCTCCCCTTTAAGCACTTGTCCTAACAGACTAGACAGTGACAAATTATTTTATATTAGTAACTCAATCAGGGAAGAAAACTCAAATCTCAGAACATTTTCAGGAATAAAACGTTTCGTAAAGACTCACAATGTACTTGAAGATCTGATAGGAGGAGCAGGAGCATGGTGAGGAATCTCTGATCCATGAATTAGGAAAGTAGCAGATGGCGGTGAAAGACGACTGAGATTATTATCAGAAGGACAAACATGGTCATCTAGTTCGCAAAAGCTACCCGCACTCGAGATCACGTGACTTTCTTCACCTGAATTATTTGCCTGACTAAAGGAACGGTCTGGCATCATGCGCAGTTGAGGAATGCAAAATGTTAAAATCCATTTAAGTAAACCAGTGAAAACATTGTCCAACCGAATTCGGAAGGCTTTTGTGGAATTATATTTCCTGGAATCAGCGAGAATTCAAGAAACATGTTCTCCCCGCTAGTAATCAGAAAGTCAATTAGATATTAATCCAAGCACGCGAATAACTAGTTCAGTGTCATAAAACCAAATGGGACCACAGTACAACCAAAAGTGCCTCCACAATACACAGTTATTAGTTATCTAAGTAGTGCAGAAAAACAACATGCAACACCCAATTTTTGGAGAACAAGAGTTAGGGGTAAAAATGAGTTGTGTGCTTGAACAGCAAATTGAAAATAATCATCACAAATCAAACATTTATTTGAGGCTTAAAGTCTGATTATTATCCATATTTTCGTAATTTCACTTCATCTGTACAACCACTTTTAGTGACCATGAAAAGTTATTAAGGCCATCATGGAATTTTCCTTGTGTAACTGCTTATCATTAGAAACTTTGTGAAGCATTTCAATACTTGCTTTTGCATGCTAACAACTCACTTTACATATGCAATTTGTTCTGACGTCGTTATTAATAGTGTACTTTCAATTTCGGTGCACGAGAGGGTTAATCCAAGATCATAACTTATCTTTAGACATCAATCCTAGCTTTTGTTGCTTGATGATATACAAATGAATATTTGGATCACGTGAGTGGTACTAGAACGAATAACCAAATCCCTTCAACATATGGACTCCGGAAACTGAAAGCAAAGTAAATACCCGTTTGGGTGGACAAAATAGTTAGAGAACGGAAGAATTCAGCCACAGTATGTTGGTTTGATTAGTCAGTTCAGTGAGGGAGTTTCTTTGGACACTTGTCTTGTTGTGAATGAGTTTTTTAAACTCAATATAAGAACTCGAACTTTACTTTCCTCATAAAATGTGTCTTATACCATACGAAGTCTTGAAGCAATACAGTGTGTTAAAAACGGACTACATTGCATAGTATATATCCTAAATATTTTCCCACTTCTGGCACATCATACGAATCGTAACCCTGGCGAACACATATCCTATCCAAATTTTACTTCACTAAGTTACATTCGTAACTCCGCCCGTAGCTCTTCTAGGGTTACTGCCGGTCCCAAGCCCGAGTAAAGGAGGAGTGTTGGGCATGGGGTTAGCGGTCCCATCCCGTAGAAAACTAACTCGCTAAAAAAACGCTAACCAGAAAAATGTTACATTCACGCTCCTGAAAAAAGTTGAGGAAGAAATCGACAGAACTAACAACAAACATTGGTTGATAAAACTTGGCTTTCGCAACGGGAGGTGTGCCTATCATCAGTCAGAACTCAAGCTAAATGCTGATGGAACTTCAGGTAAACCATGAGAACCAAATACAGGATGTGAAGCATCTTAACAGGGTGTTATAGCCCAAAGCCGCCAATCAGAAGCAGTAAATTATCGATCGAATCAAGGACGCGTAAAACGCGTGCGAGCAGCCATAGTCCTGATCGGTCCTGCTTTCCGCCTAACACAACCAATTAAGTCCAGAACACCAATCTCAGCCTCCGCAATATTAATCCTTATATTTTAAACATACTGAGTTTATATACCAATCAAACAGATCACAACGTAGAATAAAATGAAAAATAACATTACAAAAACTGGCCAAATGTGGCTGTGAATGTGGGAGGCAAAGACTAATGGACAGGGCATAATTCAAGAATAGTAAAACGTTTAATAATGGTTCATAGGTCAAAATAAAGCTTATAATAAGAGGAACATGACTATGAATAGTTTAGTTATTTAACAATTATACGATAAAAATATAAATTTAGTATTGGCCCATTAAAGGATCCCAAAGTTACCATTCATTATGTTTATTGGGACCTAACGCATGGAAACAGTGAGATTGAATGTCGAAGAGTAAAGTGAGGTAATTGCATATTGATTTCGAAGAACTCACAGTAACGTAAATTGTTCAGATGCCCATATCGCTTCATCACCAATGCATGTTAACTAGCAAAACCAGTATAAGGCATAAAACATGGGTCCTAGAAGCTGCAAATGCGAGGGAAGAAATCTCAGTATCTTTTCAGTGGTTGTCTCATTACCAGTCATATAGCGCCAGAGCCAACTCAAATTCTTTGCCCCACAAACATAGGTGGACTGAAATCATCACCCCCATCACCAATGTTTTCTGGGCAGTGTTATGGTTGATGGTGGTTCTTACGGACATTTTCTGAGTGTTTCCCATTCTCCACCCGAATATCCTCTAGTCTCTTTAAGTTTTATTGAGTCGTCGTGCAAGGTAATTTTAGAACTCATTGTATGCGACACCATCGACAGTTAAACAGCATGTTATGGAGATCAAAAGAAGACTCAAGAGACATGGTTATTTACTAGATATGAAAAACGAATACGAAGTATATAACGAAAGAAAAAAGTATAAAGCACATGATTTTGCGATTGCGAAATATAGAGTTTGTATTACAGATGGTATTAGGGGGTAAAATATTTGTGATTAGTGTTATGAACACAAGGTGTCAATCGGTCGTCTATCCACACGTTTATATGTTAGTTAGGATCGTTGAATATAGTTTGACTTAGATAAGCTGTATCGTACGACCAAAATTTTGAACAATACGGGATGGAAATAGTCCATATCAAATAAAATCAACTTTGAACAAGAATGGGCACGTCCTTTCCATCATGTATCAACAGTTCTGTTGTCAAGTCGTGAATACATCAAAGGAAAATAAATAAAAACTACCTAGCGATGGTTATGCAGCTATCTAAACACAATGAAAGGTTGATCTGAAAACTTCACTAATGTCCAATCATCATTGTACAATCGACATAGAATCATAGAGGTTATATACTGAATGTAAGATCCATTTTGAATGTCTTGTATGTGTGAAAATCCCTCCACATATATACTTGCACTTTGTTCCTATTGATCCCCTTAGTTGTACATTGTTAGTTTTTTGTTTACATTTGAATTGTTAATATTTGCATTTTATTATGGTTTTTATTTTTATCACGCCTTCACTAAGTTTTTGTGTTTCTTCTCGAACTGCATCTATGTTGTTTTACTTGACACTTGTTCTTGGCAGCAGGCATATTGATTTGCTCCTTCTTTTGTGTGTGTTCTATCCAGTCAGGATAGAATAGCTTTCATTTGTTGTGACTGCTAATTTTCGCGCATCTTTTATCAACTTCTTTATTTATTGTAATTGAGATTTGACTGATTGAACAATTATCGGTTGAATAGCCGGGTGGTAATATTTCTTAAGGTAACGATTTACATTTAAATTTATGATGAATTATAGAACCGCTATTTACCCGATTATTTGTTTTGATTTTGACGGGCAAGGGCGCGTGTCTAATCTACCTGGAAGGCTATTCAGCAGTCCAAACCGTAGTTTGGATTTTACGCTGAAGTATATTAAACGAAATGTTCTAAACAAACAAGGGTTATCATCCTTTTTTGCAACAAATATTGAACGCCTACAGGAAAATTCCCACATCAAAAAGGACATCAAGGATCTAATTTTACTTGGTTAATTCATATTATGATTAGACTTACATTACTCAGTATGGATGCAGAACAGTATCCAAGAACCCAAGGTTTGTTCGACTACACTAAACTACGTGTTTGCCATGTTTTAAGAGATTATGAGATCATCTAAAATCGGTGAATGGAACGATGGTTCAGCAACACAGCAACAAGACAAGATAAATTGTTTCTATGCGTTTTAGGCTTGATAGCTAGAGGGAGAAGACCAGGTCCAGATGAAGTAAATATATATTTCACAAGCAGCCAGAGGCACGAATAACAACAAATACACAACTCAGACATATATATAAAGTATAAAAAATCCTTGGAGAACGTTACAAGATAACATATTAAAAGACGAGACGGACCAGTGGTATCCATGGTCCTTCCAAGTCGGAAATACAATCTGATGGTAAGAATTAGCACTTTTGGCGTGAAAACGAGAAGTTCGAATCTTCGAAATTAAATTACAAAAGCAATATATTTACCAAATGATTTCTGGGGATACAGCATTCTTGACAGTTTTTTGTTTGATGTACGAAGCTTTTGTGTGTCATTCGTATTAGATAATCATATAGGAGCATAAATTTTGTGTGCAGTCTGTGTGGACTTTTTAAGCCCTCGTTCCTCCAAAACCAATCGTTTCTTTCTCGGGCATCCTGACATATTCAGACACAAAGATAGTCCCAACATAAAATTAAATTTACTGTTCTTACTTACTTACTTACTTACTTACGCCTGTTACTCCTCGTGAAGGAGCATAGGCCACTCACCAGCATTCTCCATCCAACTCTGTCATGGGCAATCCTTTCTAGCTCCGTCCAGTTGTAATTCATCGTTTTCATATGTGCTTCTATTATCCGACGCAGTGTGTTCTTTGGCCTTCCTCTTTTTTGCTTCCCTTCAGGATTCCAAGTTAGGGCTTGCCTCGTGATGCAGTTTGACGACTTGCGTAATGTATGTCCTATCCATTTCCATCGTCTTTTCCTCATTTCTTCTTCAGCTGGAAGTTGGTTTGTTCTCTCCTACAAAAGGCTATTGCTGATGGTATCCGGCCAATGGATATTGAGTATCTTGCGTAGACAGCTATTTATAAATACTTGTACTTTCTTGATGGTGGTTGTTGTAGTTCTCCAAGTTTCAGCTACATACAGTAGAACTGCCTTGACGTTCGTATTGAAGATTCTCACTTTGATATTGGTTGAAAGTTGTTTTGAGTTCCATATGTTCTTCAGGTGAAGGAATGCGACGCTTGCTTTGCCAATCCTCGCCTTTACGTCTGCATCTGAACCTCCTTGTTCATGGATGAATCTTCCCAGGTATGTGAAGGATTCTGCATCTTCCATAGTTTCGCCATCAAGAGTGATTGGCTTGCTGTTCTCCGTTTTGAATCTGAGGACCTTGGTTTTCCCCTTGTGTATGTTGAGGCCTACTGATGCAGAGACTGCTGCTACACTGGCTGTCTTCATCTTCATCTGTTCGTGTGCACGTGATAGGAGGGCTAGGTTATCTGCGAAGTCCGAATCGTCTAATTGATTCTGAGCTGTCCATTGTATTCCGTGTTTTCCTTCAGATGTCGAGGTCTTCATAATCCAGTCGATCACCAGAAGAAAGAGGAAAGGAGAGAGAAAACAGTCTTTTCTGACTCCGGTCCTTACTTGGAATGCATCTGTCAGCTGTCCTCCATGCAC